GACAACAACATAGGACTTTGGGACTCTACAGGGGTTACAATAAGAGCTGAGAGTGACACACTCTTTTTCTGACAATCAAGTACAGCTCCATTTGCAGACAACCAATCCATCCCCACAATAACATCAATCCCAGATAAAGACAAACAAATGAGGTCTATGGTGGTCTTTCGACCCTCATACTCAACCTCTACATTTAGACATGCCTTAGCAGTCCTTACAGTCAAACCAGCAGGAGTAGAAATCTTCACATCAAAAGGTAAGGTACACACAGGCAATTTACATCTTTTCATACATTCATCAGACACAAAAGAGTGTGTAGCACCCGAATCAAACAAAGCACAAATATCATTATCAAGGATTCGGATTATACCTCGGATAGCATTAGGGTTATTAGTAGCCTCCGGCCCAGAGAGGGCATACACTCGTGCTGGCACTGTAGGTCTCTGATCATTACCCCTATTTTGGTTCTGATAGCAGAATCGAGCAATATGACCAGGCTTCTGACAGATGTAACAAACCCAACAATCACCAGAATGAAACTTCCCACACTTACTGCATGCTTGATTACTAGCAGCACCAGGAGTAGGATTAAAGGTAGCTGGGCTCCTATAGGACCCTTGACTCCCACTCTGATTCCTTCTGTAGCTCTGGCCCTTATGATAGTAGCCCTTCTTCTTCTGATTTCTAAAGCCTCCAAAGATTTGACTGCTCCTCTTCTCTACTCCACCAATGGGTCTGGTGTGGATAGGGGGCTTCCCATAAGGTTCTTTCCTCCTCTCTCTATCAGCTTCTAATCTAGCCTCTCTCTTCCTCCGAGAAACTATTCGAAGCTTATTGCACATCTCACTGAATGTCTTGATCTCAAAAGGGGCTAACTATTCCCTTAGATCAGGCCTCGCCTTCTCTAGTAATCGTTCAGCCATCCACTCTGTATCTTTATGTTTTGGAGGTAAGTGGAGTATTTAGATAATTCTGAGAATTGTTCAATAAATTCATCCTCATCTAGATCACCCTGACGAAATGCATGAAACTCAGCCTCCTTTTCTGCTCTCATTGTAGTAGGAAAATAATTCTCGAACAATATGGCTTTAAAATCTTCCCAAGTAAGAGAGGCATCATCCTTCGGTCCTGATGTTTCCCACCATTTCTTGGCGCTCTTCTGTAGTAAGAATATTGCCAGCTGCACCTTTTGATTAGAAGTGCACACAACCATACGAAAAATACTCTCCAATTGATCTATCCATTCTTCAACCACCGCCGGCTTAAGATTTCCATCGAAAGTAGGAGGATTAAACTTACGAAAAGTACTCCAAATCTTTGTGATCGTGGATGTCTGTTGCTCAGAGTGAAGACTTATATTCTTTGAACTAGTCTCATGGTGAGAATAGGGAGGTGAGCCTTCATCAGCAGATTGGCTCGCATTGAATACCTTGGTATGGCTTCCTTCTTGTTGGCCATTTCCCTCTCGGTTGGAATTCTCCTTATATTGTCTTAAAGCGGCCAACTCTTCTTCTTGTCTCTTCATGCGGTCACTAAGATTATATAGTAGATCCATCATTTGCCTCATGGTTGGCTCATCCTGCCTTAGTTGTGACTGTATGGGCTCGCCCTGCCCAATTTGTTGCTGTGTGGGATCCGGTTGTGGCAGTGAAGGTATGTCATTTCCTATTGGCTCTATAGAATCACCGGCAATTTCGCCACCTCTCCTAGTTTTGGACACCATCTCTCCCCTCCTAAAGGATAGAAGTCACATAATTAAGTTAACACTAATCTCAAGATTTAATAATGGAGAAGTATTATGATTTAATAATGTATATTACCAATAAACTAGGTTAATGTATAACAATTTCATAATTTATAAGAATTTGAAACATGTAGCTCTGATAGCAAAATCGTAACACACCAAATTTTTTTTTTATAATTTAACTCAACCATAGTTGGGTTACAGCCACCCAACACATTTTTATATCAATAATTTCAATATAAAATATTTTATAATTGGCTTCAACTCACACACTATAGCATTTCAGATAAATTTTTACCTCCCACATGCCATTAGGCTAAATCACATTTGTCCATCCTTATACTCCCACCAAGTAAACTAAATCACATTTGTCCATCCTTATACTCCCAATAAGTAAAATAAGTAATTTAGTCAATTTTCAACACAAGCCAGTTATTTGGCCTTATAATCATGCCATTTTAATCAATCCAAAGTAAACCAAATATTAAAATTACAGTCATCCAAATTGTACCAAAAATAGAAATAGTTTGAAAGGCATGATTACATTTATATATTCATATAATTGACAATAAACAAAAAGCCCTAATATTGGCAATATAACACATTATAAATCATAAATTAAATACCCAAAAGAGACAGTGGATCTATACCACTAAGCCTCTGGGACTCCTCCACGTGTCACTCGTGGCTCTTCTCCTGAAAATTGTTAACCACATAATGAGACTCAAAAGTCCCAGTAACCAAAGTCAATTTATGATAGTGTATACAAACAGTTAAGTGTGTGCTTACTAAGTGAGAATTAAAAATAATATAATTCCAACAAATATATGAAATATTACAATACACATAAACAACCATCCTTATATCCCTCCATTAACCTCGAGCCGTAGCCCTCACTCGGTGCTAAATTACCCGGCCAAAGGTAGATTAGCCCGAGCCCTTACAAGCCACCTATTGAGCTCCAATAAGGGCGTACCACGTGGCACATAAATACAACAATAATAGCAAGTCTCCCAACACCTCCCACAATAATCAAACAAATTCATAATAATATTGCACAATTATACAATATTACAAAATTCATAATTTTCTCAATAATCACCCAATTAACATGAAGTAACACTAATCACAAATTAAAAGCATGGTTACCTTGTGGCTTTTTCAATAAATTATTCCTTAAAATTTCTCTCTCACCACAATCTTCACCAGTAATATAATCTACAAAATAACATATTATTTATAAATATTAGTTTCAATTTTTGAAACTAATAAAATAATTCTAATAATAGAATTAAAAATATAACATAATTCCTAATCTCAATCTTAATACAAATCTATAGTTAATACTATTAAGTAAAATTTTTAACTCCTCTTTTAATTATCAATAAACATTAATAATCTAAAAATCAACTTCTAAACTAATTTCTATTATCAAAATTTTCTTTTTATTTTATAAATTCGTACCTAAAATACTCAAAAATTAAAAATTGAGTCACTAGCTTAGAATCATAATCCTATAACTATAATAATTCATTTCTCATCCCAAATAATCATCTAAACCTCAATAAATTAACATATATTTTTAGATCTAGTTTAGAATTTAATTCATAAGCCACAGATTCAAATATCATCAATAAATTTATACTCTAGAACATTTATTATACTACTGACAACCTCAAAAATCATATTTATTCAACATAAATTCATCCCTCTTCCAGATCTTAAATTTTCTACCACTACAAACTCAGAAACCAAAGAAGAAGGATGACTAAGAAAAATTTTTAGAACACTTACTTAGTCTTGAAAAGCTTAAAATCACACCCTAAATATCCTATTAAAAACTCTTACCTTAAAAATTTAGATATTTCACACCGGCAACTCGCTTCTCTCCGCCTCAGCTAGCGCGCAGGAAAAGAATTGAAGAAATGAAAGGAAACGGGTGAGTTTTATAAAAATTCAGTGGGTCCCACATCTTTTTTTTATATTATTTCTTCTTTCCTCTCTCTCCCCTTTTTTTTATTATTTTATGTAATCATGACGCGCCGAAAGCAATTTGTTCTTCTTCTTCTTTCCCCTTTTTTTTTAATACATTTTCCCCTTTTTTTTATTATAATAATAATTTAATAATATTTTTTTATTTATTTTTTTATTTATTTTTTTAAAATTTTTTTTAAATTTTTTTTAGAATTATATCCTAAGTTAGATTTAATAATCATCTCTTACTATTTTTCTTACCTCTAAATATTATTATTATTTTTTTAAATTTTTATTAACCCAAATTAACTATTAAAATTTAAATTGAGATGTTACACAAATCACGCAAGGGACAAGGCGTAACCACATGTGTTTTGAACCACAAAAGCTATAAAATGAGAAACAAGACTCTGGAGGACGTTTCACGTGTGTTTTGGAAATGCCTCATGCGTGTTTTAGACCATAGAAGCTATTTAGTAAAATTTGTATGTCATGTATATGATAATTTATTAATGTAAATAGGTTTAATTTTAATGATTTATATTTTTAATATATTTAAATTAAATTATAGTTATATTTCAATAGTTATAGTTAATATTTAATGGTTATAGTTAATAGAGATAAATTCTTATAAATTTATGATTTAAGTTTGTGATACGAGTTTACGTTTCTATCATGAGTTTATTTAAACTCATAAGTTTAACAACTTTGTTCATAACTTTAGACTGCTTTCACAATCCATAGAGCCATTTTTGGACTATGGCTTGGGGTGTTAACATGACTTGCTTTGGGTTTTGTACAAGGTTGATAAGATTTTAAATAAGATTTCCTTAAAGACTTCTTTAAGAAAAAAGTGACAGAAGATAAATTAAATCTAATTTTATTATTGAAATATTATTTAGGAGATTTTATTTTGATATTTATTTGAATGTTATTTAAGAAATTTCATTTTGATATTTATTTTTTAATCCTTATCTATATTTAAATGTTATTCATTTATGTAAATCGTATTTAGATTTAAATTTTATTTAGTCTTTCATTATCTAGTTATTTAGACTTTATTTATATTTGTCTTTATAAATATGATTAATAATTTAAAAATTAACATATGATCAATAAAGAATAGTTTTTTAAACTCTTTAAATGTTTTTTTTAAATGGCTATTTAAAAAATATAGAAAAAGGTAAATTTATGTCTCTTATTTCATTCAGCTCCTAACAAACGTGTGGCTCAGTTAATATACACGGTACGTGCCGGTTGTGCTCAAAGCTGGTTCGAGCCGTCCATTTTTTTATACGTCTGGTTCCCCTTTTGCTCTCTTCAGTTCAGACCCATCTCGTACATGTTGCCTCTCTATTCGACTGTTCTCCAAATCATTCTCACCTCTCTCTCCCCAGATCTGCGCTTTCTTCATTTATCTTCTTCTCCATGGCTCATTGAACTAGCTGAAAATATTGCAGCAACCACTATTGTCGGATCTGATTTCTTTCTTCGTGGGCACGAATATCACTTCCACAATTTCCATGGTGGGATTTCTTCTTGTTTTTTTTTTTCTTGCAGTTTTTCTTTCTTTCCTTTCCTTCTCCGTCTCTTTCTTCTCTTTTCTTCTTCATCTTCTATTCCTTCTTCGTCTGATGCTTTGCTTGCACAATTTAAAGCTATAAAGGAATAGAAGGTGCACGAAAGTGTGTGGGGCAGGAGCTTGTACAACGCTTTGATGACCAAGGACTTGAGTTTATATGCGCTTATCATCGCAATCCATTAGATACATTTTGTTGCGGAACCTCGACCAGGAGTCAAACAACGTCGTGGAGAGTGAAGATGAACCTCAAGATGTCGGCACTTGAGTTGCAGAAGCAGAGGACTTACAGGAAGATGAAGACGCAGATGTGAAGCCATAGTCGGAGAGAAAAGCAGAAGCAGTGGGTTGAAACCTACTTGAGTCGCCAACAGGAAGTCTCATGTAACAATAAGAAGGTGACTCACTGAACAATAACCCTAGGGGCTGATGCTTTATATAAATGCATTTGCCGATTCAAGAAAGTAAGTATCGTCAAATCAATTTATATTCCGTTCGTATCACTTTTTGGCTTGGAAAATTTCTGGATAGCAAAATGGTAATCTGAATTAATTTTTTGACTGTATTCTACATGCTTTGTAGAAAAGAAGAGCAGCAACAGAACTGACACAAGCCATGTGTTTCACAATTGTAGAAGTTTCCAGAAATTTTCTTCCACCTTTCATGCTAAAATTGTCGGCTCCAAAATAAAATTATGCTTTGCTTGGCTTCTTTGATTTCTGTTTTCTTTCTCCTTTGTCTGTTTCTTTCGATTTTTCATCATTTCTTTTCATTGTTTCTTCTTGAAAGTTGTCTTTGTTTCCATTTTAGCTACAGGGTAAGGAAGAAAAGGAGCTGGAACATGAATTCAAATTTTGAAGAGTTAAAGATTCCTTTTTGAATGTTCAGTGTTCCTTTCCACTGCCTTTGGATTTTATATTCGAGTAGAATATGAAACAAGTTTTGTTTCTGTACGTATATAGTGTGGAGAGATAATGTTCTTCTCAGATTCTTTCTGTCTATGATTATTGATCAGGCATTTCATTTTGGCTTGCTATATACAGATGCAACATTGTTAGAAATGCTTTTTAGCTTGCTATATACAGATACAACATTAATATGGTTGGAAGAGATTTTCTGCATGAAAACTCTACCATATGCTATACAATTTGTAGGGTCCTATATATCTTTTTCTTTTTTGTCAAAGGAATACTTCAGTCAAACCAAATTGCAGAATAATAAGCATCCACAAAACATGCAAAACAGAAAGGTAAGCAAACGTCGAAACAACAAAGAGAACTGGTAAGTGGTAATTATAATATACTATAATTTGTAAATTGTAATTTGTTTTTTTTGGTTGAAAGGTAATTTGCTTCTCTCATCATTTATCAAATAGAAAATTAATTTATTTACCCTAATGAACCAAAACTATTGTGTTATCTTTCTAAACTTCAAACAGAGTACCAAATTTGGAAAAGGAAGCCTACACCTTAATAAAGTTTGACTAGTCGTGAATGAGAGATGCAGCAGCGGACAACCATTAAAGGTTTTACCAGTTGCTTACCTTTATTATGCTGCATCTTGTACACTGCTGTGTTGCCAGTTGTTAGCTTCAGTCCCTATGCAGACCAAGTTTTTGGATGAAGTCAACATTGTTTTTTCTGATAAGTCTGAGTTGAAGCTGAAAGCGGACACATCATATAGAGATAATATACCACAATGACCATAAACCTTTTATAGAAAGGAAAGTTACGTTGCAGTACCAATGAACATTAAGCTCATAAAAGGCTTCGAATTAAATTCACTTTTCAATGTGGTATATAATGATGTAATTTGCTGATAGTGCCTGCTGTCCATTAAATTCTCTATGCAGCCTAACTTCTTGGATGAAGTGATCTTTATTTTAGTTTAACAATGATGGATTGAAGCTGGAGGAAGGCACAGTTGATACAGACTATACATCACAAGGATCATCAACTTTAGTACAAACTCATGTTACAATATCAGAGAAGATTTATACCCAGTCTACATCATTGCCACTGATACATTTTGTTTATTATTTAAATTTCTTTCAAAGATATTTTGATTTTAAATCCTTTCAAACCTATTGACTATTTATATGCACTGAATTTTACTAATACTTACTAACCATGACCCTTATTGGTGTCGAAGCTGCAAGAGTGTTGGAGTTGCTGGAACTTGGGTAGCTACCCTGGTGCTAACTTTATTTTTTTTTTTTAAACCTTCCCTGAACTTTACAAAACTTTACTCATATTTCTTTTTTAATTTAAGAATAGCATTAACTTCTCTTAAGGATTGACAGTTTGTCTACACCTTAACAAAGTTTGACTTGTCGATTTTACTCCAAAAAAAAAAAAAGGGTTCACCTGTCCAAAAAAGAGATGCTGCAACTGGCAACCATGAAAAGCTTTATAAGTAGCGTACTTTTTATTATGCTACATCTTGTATATACATTGCTGTGTTGCCAGCTGGCAGCTTTAGTCCCTATGCAGACCAAGTTTTTGCATAAAGTCAACATTGTTTTTTTAAAATAATTTTGAGTTTTTTTTTTTGTCAAAATAATTTTGAGTTGAAGCTGAAAGATAACACATCATATAGAGATAATATAAAGATAAAGACGAGAGAAACGGAATGCTGAAAGAGGACACATCATCAGGAGTACATCAAGACTTTGGGATAAAGAGGTAAAGACGAGAGCAAAAGGGAAAAGCAACAAAATTCTGAAAGGAGGGTAAAACCATTTCCCTCCCGTCAAAAATACTCCCTCCATTCTGCAATATTAGATGCTTTTAGAAGAGAATTTTGGTCCACAATATAAATCACCAAGAGATGATGACTCTACATTTTACATTTAAGTTCCCAAAATACCCTTAGTGCTATAACGTTTCTAACCCACCTGTCTTTCTCGATTCAAGTCTGGCTTATCTTTCTCTCTCTTCAAATTGTGCTTTGTTGTTTACCATCTTCAATCTCTACCATTGATCACGTTTGGCATTCTTCTTATTAGCTCTCACCTCATTAGTGATCGCCTCTCGTTTCTCACTTTCCTCTTCCATCGTGGTTCACCTCAGACTCGCTGTTAAAGGTGTGGTTTGAAATCTCAGTGGATCTTCGCCATTCAAGCTCAACAAAAAAGGGCTTTGAAGATATGTCAGGGATGAGCTAATGGGCTGTATAGTCGACATTTCTCTTGATGAGGAAGAAGATATACCCCTAGTCAACTTCTCTGGGGAGGTGATGTCCCTGAATCAAAAGATTTTGTGGGCATCTCTTCCCAAGGATTCTTCGCTTGGGTCTTCCAATTTTGTCGAGGTTGAGGTGGTGCAATAAAAGCAAGTCTAGTCCTTTGATTTGAATGAAGAGGCAACGAAGGATGGTGAAGAAGTGAGTAGCGATAATGGCAACAACAATGGCACATCTGACTAAGGAAGAGAAAGAAAAAAGAGGAAGATTGTCCACCCATTCAACCTAAACAAATTTCCAGTTCCAGAGGAAGATTGTGTGCATCTAACCAAGGAAGAGAAAGCCCATAAGTAATTTGCATACGACACTTTGCATTATATGTTTTGATTAGTGTTGAATTTATGAGCCTTCTATAGTTCTGTGTAATTTTAATTATTCTAGACTTTAAGCTTATTTTGGTCAATGATGGATGTTAAGCTTATTTGATACATGATAGTTTAGTTTATTTTGGTTATGCTAAAGTTACATGTCGATGATCTTCTTTTCTGGTTAGTCTGATGGATGAATGTATTGACATTTTAGCCACTTCTACATCTCTATTGTGTTAGAATGATGGATGATGATATTTAAACTAATGACAAATGTTTTGAATTAGCGAGCTTTCTATTTTGTTTTTTGAATTAGCAAGCTTTTTGTTTTAGTGAGCTTTTGCATCTCTGTTATGGTAGGGATTGCATGTAGCTAGGAAATTATAAACGGATATGCAGTGTCAATATGCAATGTTGAATATTTAGCCCTTTCATAATTGTGAAGTTAATTTGAAACCTTAAAGATTTTTTTCTTCTTTAATTTGATATGCAGTGTCAATATGTATTGTCAATATAGAACTTGTTGACAAATTATAAACTACCCACTTTATACACAAATTGCTTCATTTACTATGAAATATTAATGTTAATATTATGTGTTGCAATTTACATGAAAAATTGTAACACAAAATATTGAGGGTTCACAAAAATATCCACCCTTTAATCTAAACTATCCATCCACTTCTTCTAAGTGCTCTAACACTTCTTGGACTAGGTAGAGATCACACTTGAGTTGATTAAGCAATTCACCCCTTCTTTCCATCACATCCTTCTTCAAATAGCTTGGCTTGTACTTATTTGAACCTTCGTCCTTCATAATGTCAACCATAGTAGCTTATAGGGTTAGGAAGATCCTATTCAATTGCTTGGATGTGTAAACTTCAAATGAATTCTTTATAGCTCTAACAAGATCATCTATAGTTTTAGGTGCCTCTTGGTATTGTAGTGCTTGAATTTCTCTAAAGTATCCAAGACCCAAAATGTTTAAATCAGGTGAGTTGGGGGGTTGAGAAATCAAGCGAATATCAAATCCACCATCACTTACTGCCATACGAAAATCCTCATCATTGTCATCAATATGACAAGGAGCATTATCTTGCTGAACAAAAATAGTTTCATTTGCATGACATGTTGGCCATTTGGCTTTAATTTCTGGTAGCATTTTGTCAATAAGGAAAGACTTCATGACTTCTTCTATAATTGAAGTGATTGGTTTTGTTTCATTGTGCCTCTGCTCCTATTCACACTCCTTCTTCTTGCTGCCTCTTTTCTAAAAACAGGGAATAAACCAATCTTCCCAGAAAAAATTCATTTCCTTGTGCATCAAACCTAGGTCTAGCCATAACAATTAGGAACGTAACTTTACCAATATAGTTCTTCTTTTTACATGTTTGGTGTGGTGGCTCCTCCCCTGTTGCCAAGCAATAGGTTTGGGATTTCTTTGTCATGTAAAGCCATTTTTCATCAATGTAGATTATGTTGTGCATAGATTGAAAAGTTGGGTCATTTGGTATACTTTCTTGCTCTAGCATAGATAAGCACCACCTTAACCAAGCAAGCATGGTTTTCTCCTTCAAATATGGTTTGATTGCATTAGTGTGGCACCATAGAACTCCTTTTTTTAAGTCTAATTAGTAATGTCCTGTTAATACCCAGTGCACTTACAAGAGACCTATAAGTAGTCCGTTGATATACCGAAATTGCCATGACTTGTTGCATGTTCACATTAGGTCCCTTTCTTCCATACTTGTTTGTCTTTTTGTGGCTTGCATCCCCTGTTTCCTTAACTTGATGCCAAATGCATTGAATGACTCTAATTGAAACTGAATATGCTGAAGCTATCTCTCTTGTTGTAATATTGTTCAGTTTACCTTGATAGCTTGAGTTTAATAAGATCTTATAAATGGATACACGTTCTTCATTTGATAAGAAGCTTCTTTTTTTTACATGGTGGCTACCCTGGTGATTCAATTGTATTGCGTCCCACATCTATCTCTATTTCAAAAGTTTACAAATGTTAGATTCTTGATAAACTATATAATCTAATAAACTTTTTTCCCCTTTTTGTAGAAAATATGAGAATTTACAAAAGTTGTTGTGGGTGAGTTTCTAAGACTATGAGGATACTAGTTGAACACAAAAGTTGTTATGGGTTCCTTCATATATTGAAAGTGTATTTGGACCACCATAACTTGGACATGGTTTTAAAAGGTTAGAGTATGACTGCACTATCCATTGTCTTAACCTCAAAATTGTTGGGAGGTTCCAGATTCTAAAGTTTTGTAAATTCTCATTTCTATGAAGGTTTTAAATTGATAGTAGCATAACTTTTCAAAGACCATCATAAACTTTTTGTGTTCAAGGAGTTAAGGAAAGAGAACTTTAGTGAGTGGTAGAAGTTATAACCAAATTCAAGTCTACCAATAGAATAAGCAACCCTTTGACAGATAGTGACTTCTAAATTGTAATACAGAAACATGGCCAAAAGAGCTTGCTGAAGAGAATACAGAGAAGGATATGAAAATATGTGGTATACTAGGTGGTTTTCTTGTAAGAGTCGATATAAATCCATAACTTATTGTTTGTCTTATTAGAAATTCTCACAGCCTTTAATAAAAGGTTTAAATTTCACAATTGTTCATATCTATTACTAAATTACTTTATTTATAAAATCTCTCTCTCTATATACATATATACACATATAGGGAAATATTAAAGTTATTCGTTAATTTAGATTGTAGCTAAAATTTCTCTATCTCTTATATATATTTTATTTCCATGTATTTTTTTAGATATATACTAACTGTAAATTTAGGTGCTGGTAAGATGTTTTGGCCCTTTATACTATGTAGTTAGTTGCACTTATGTATGTGACATTTTATAGACTGAAACCAGCTAGTACTTTCTTTAAAATAACTGTAGTAACTAGATTGATGAATTATTTTTTTAAATTTAAGATTGACATTAATTATTTCTTTCAACCATCCAAGTAAAGGGAACCCTCTACATGACCACATTGATAATACCAAAATAGGAATCAACTTTCGATTTTTTTTATTACCTTAGAGCTACTTTTACACTGTTATTTTATTTTATTTTATCACTACTGCTTATTGCTGACTTTCTGCACTAAATGACTGTGTTAGGCTACAAATGAGGAGGAAGTTTTTGCAATTCCAATTGAGGATCCCTCTTACCTGTGGAATGGATCCATGTATCTCTCTCTCTTCTTTTTGCTTTGTTAATAAAGTTTTGTATGTTCATAATGGTGTTTCTTTTTTCTTATTTTGTTTTTTTGGTCCAATGTTAACAACATTGTTCATAAATTATATTTCATGCTGTTAGTTTGACATCATTTGCCATCTCATATTTTTGTTTACTTCCTCTTAACCATTCTAGTGTCTGAACCTACTATTTTAAGCATGGTATGGGTTATGACATTCTAAAAGTCTAGATCTATTAGAATCACCTAAAGCTTTATGAACTCTTTTGGCCATGTTTTTGCGTCATAGGTTGCTGCACTGATACTAGAAAACACTTTTACATCAATATTGGATATGGCTAGTGTTTTATTACCTTTTATATAATCATAAGAGACTCTTCACAGACCTAAATCTACCTCTACATAAATGTCTCATATAGGTTAGTGTCATATTTAAAGATGTATTAAGGAAAGATTTTTATTATTCATTTTTTATAAGTTTTCACAATATAAATTTTATATGGGGATATTCATGGGCTTTATAAATAGAGAGATTCTTATCATTTCCTTCTTCATTGATTGTAATATGTTGCTCTTCATTTTGATTGTTGTCTAAGTAGAACATTCTCACACATGGGAGGAGCATTTAAGTCCAAGGAAATGGTGATGATGTCCCCACTATCTTCCTCATTGACTGGAGCATTTAAATCAAAGGAGAGGGAGCAATTTTCCATGGTGGAAAAGTGCAATTTCCATGCCTTTCTTTTCATTTTTTTCGATGCCGTCTGACTCCCTTTTAAAGGGATATAACTTTCCTAAAATGTGAAACCCGCCTGTAATTTTCCATTCCTGCTAGAAGGCTCAATTTTTCATTGTAAAAGTCTCATACTTTCATGTAAAAGTCTCATACATGTTAAAGTATGAGAGAGAAATTATGAAAATAATAATTTATTCATTGACTGTACTTTTGCCTTTTTCATTTTGAAAGTTAATTTAAAATTTTATTCACAATTATTCTTTATACTTTTATTATATTAGTATTGGTAAGGTTGATAAAAATGATTTATAAATAAGATTGAAGGGAGTATAAAGCATTTTTTGAGGGGTTGGATATTAAAAAATGTAAGGCATTTTAATCTTTCGAGATGTAATCATTACTTTTTTAAAAAGTGCCTCTATTAATAATAGTTTTATATTTATTGTACGGTGTTTAATAGGAATAAATATGAAAAGATATAGTTAGTTTGAAAGTAGGTAATTACTTTATTGGAGAGTGAAATTCGATTAAAAATGCCTTAAACATTTTTTAACGGAAGGAGTATATTTTATTATATTGCAAATGTGTAGTGAATTGTCCAATAAATAATAGCACTCACTCAATAAACAAATTTCAGAATATTAACAATTGCATATGGTATTCACTTGATAATAGACAGATATTTTTATTTTGCTTCAACATAAACCATGGCTGCATATTAATTTTGTGAGGACAAATAGATTAATTGCGGGTGCCGAAGATAGAGGCTAAGCACAGTGGTGTAGATGGTAAGTGTGTTCTGCCACTCTTGCAGCTTGCCTTTCTTCTGATTAATTTTAAAACTTTTCCATGATATATATATATATATATATATCTATCCATTGTGGGAAATTTGTGCTTAAATTGTACACGGTGTGATTCAGAAACTACTATGAATTGTGTGCCATAAGATGCATAATTTTTCAATAGAATATTACATGTTGACGATCTTAGTAGCACTACACTTTTCAAGGCAATTACACAAGTATTGTTTTTGACTTTTTTTTCATTACTTCATGATCAAAATTTTACTATATGATATATTGATGTAAAAGAATTTTGATTTCATGTCACGTTTGTGTTTATACTCTTTCCCATGGTATATTCTTGCAGTATTTTTTGTCTGTTTCTTTATTTGTTTTTTTAGGATATTTTAAAATAATGCATGGTCAGATTCAATATTCAATGTAATGGTGGAAGTCTCATTAAACTTTTTGTATTTGTCCATAGAATTATTTACTTTATGTATTTAAGGCTTCGAGACCATGTCATCATATACTGAGAAGGGCTTGCAGTCGACTGT